AGGGAGCAGGAACAGACCGAGTCGGGCTGGCGGCGCGCACCACAGGCTCCATGCGAGGAACAGGAACAGACAGGACCGCACTGAGGACACACACCCCTGGCCCTACACGGGGATCAGGAACGGGCCGGACCGGACTGGTAACACACCCCAGTACCCTTCGCCGTGCCTCCACACCTTCCTTCCCCTTCGTGACCAGTGGCCCCCTTAACCTGGCGGCCTTTTCTGCCAACCTACTGCACTCCTCTAACCCGTACTCCTGCTGCCCCGACGTCGTGAGCCCCCCCCTAAAAACTTTCTGGGGGTCTCTCCTCTCCGTGGACCAGGCCTCTATAGTCCTCTCCCAACCTTCGCTCTTCTGTCTCCACCACTCGTCATCCAACTCCTGGAAACGCTGCTTGGTCTCGTTGTGGTGGGTTTTTCTGTCACGATCGTCTATGAAGTAGGACCAAAGCGCAGCGTTGGTAGCGAACATATTGACTTTAATGCAATACACGAGAATACAAAACAAAACACGATCATGAAGTCCTCAGTGACAACGACTGAACATAGAACAAAAACCCACAACCCCAAGGTGAACAATGACAGTTTAAATATGGCTCCCAATCAGAGATAACGAGCCGACAGCTGACACTCGTTACCACTGATTGGGAGTCACTGGACCAAACAATGAAACAACCAATAACAACCCAACTAATCCCCAAACACAACAAAAATGAACACACCCTGGCTCAATAATACAAAGTCCCGGAGCCAGAGCGTGACAATACTTTGTGTCCAGTGTGGAGACTTAGCCGAGGCAGCAGAGCATGTGACCACTCCAAGACATTGTGTCACCGAGTAGTTCAGCTACATTGAAAAGTCAGTTGCTTTGCGCTCTAGACATTGGAGAATGTAGCATTCTCAACCTTGGCTGTGTTGACCTGGCAAAAATAATCCAGTGTGCTGACACACCGGGCTTGTGTTTTCTTAGACAGGCCCTATAGCAGGGTTCCCCAACTGGTTTCTGAGAAACAAACAAAAAAAAACATACAAATGTAAGCAAGGTTTGAAATTATTATGTTTTAGTCAAATGTTATATCTGTTTGGGCTTGCAGGTCAATTTGTAGTCTACAAATTATTTGTAATTCTGTTCCGGCCCCCCCTGACCATCCGCTGAAGAAATAAAATCGGCCCGCGGCTGAATCTAGTTGATGATTCCTGCCCTACAGGCTGCGGTGCATGTGACCACCCGGTCCCACCAAGACATTGGGTCACTGAGCAGTTCAGTTGGATTGAGAGGGGAGAGGTGCAGGCTGGCGTCTTCGCACTCTAGAGACTAGGCATTAAACATCCCATCCCCTGTTAGATCCCTGCAGGGCCAGTGACTAAGTAGTTCAGCTGGTTTGAGAGGAGAGGTGCTGGCTGGTGTCTTTGTTTGCACTCTAGGCATTGGAGAGCTTGTCCCTCCAAGACACTGGGTCGCTAAGTAGTTCAAATGGACTGAGAGGAGAGTGCTGAGGTGCTGGTGTGTGTCTACTAGTCATCGGAGAACTCAGCTTATGATAGGAGGTATAAATGGCTGTCCCACTGAGGTGTTTAGAACCTGTGATCCTAAAGGTGAACTGTTGAGTCACTGTTGAAAGCCAGGGATCGATTTAAGTCGCTAACGCTTTGGCACAGCCCGCTGTTGCAGGTAGTTACCTATAAATTACTTATTAGCAATATGCCAATACTATGTCAAGTTTTATTGCCAAGTATGAGGGTGGGGCGGTTTCAAAATATATACAGTGGGGGAAGAAAAGTATTTAGTCAGTCACCAATTGTGCAAGTTCTCCCACTTAAAAAGATGAGAGAGGCCTGTAATTTTCATCATAGGTACACGTCAACTATGACAAACAAAATGAGGAAAAAAAATCCAGAAAATCACATTGTAGGATTTTTTATGAATTTATTTGCAAATTATGGTGGAAAATAAGTATTTGGTCAATAACAAAAGTTTCTCAATACTTTGTTATATACCCTTTGTTGGCAATGACACAGGTCAAACGTTTTCTGTAAGTCTTCACAAGGTTTTCACACACTGTTGCTGGTATTTTGGCCCATTCCTCCATGCAGATCTCCTCTAGAGCAGTGATGTTTTGGGGCTGTCGCTGGGCAACACGGACTTTCTATGGGGTTGAGATCTGGAGACTGGCTAGGCCACTCCAGGACCTTGAAATGCTTCTTACGAAGCCACTCCTTCGTTGCCCGGGCGGTGTGTTTGGGATCATTGTCATGCTGAAAGACCCAGCCACGTTTCATCTTCAATGCCCTTGCTGATGGAAGGAGGTTTTCACTCAAAATCTCACGATACATGGCCCCATTCATTCTTTCCTTTACACGGACCAGTCGTCCTGGTCCCTTTGCAGAAAAACAGCCCCAAAGCATGATGTTTCCACCCCCATGCTTCACAGTAGGTATGGTGTTCTTTGGATGCAACTCAGCATTCTTTGTCCTCCAAACATGACGAGTTGAGTTTTTACCAAAAAGTTGTATTTTGGTTTCATCTGACCATATGACATTCTCCCAATCCTCTTCTGGATCATCCAAATGCACTCTAGCAAACTTCAGACGGGCCTGGACATGTACTGGCTTAAGCAGGGGGACACGTCTGGCACTGCAGGATTTGAGTCCCTGGCGGCGTAGTGTGTTACTGATGGTAGGCTTTGTTACTTTGGTCCCAGCTCTCTGCAGGTCATTCACTAGGTCCCCCCGTGTGGTTCTGGGATTTTTGCTCACCGTTCTTGTGATCATTTTGACCCCACGGGGTGAGATCTTGCGTGGAGCCCCAGATCGAGGGAGATTATCAATGGTCTTGTATGTCTTCCATTTCCTAATAATTGCTCCCACAGTTGATTTCTTCAAACCAAGCTGCTTACCTATTGCAGATTCAGTCTTCCCAGCCTGGTGCAGGTCTACAATTTTGTTTCTGGTGTCCTTTGACAGCTCTTTGGTCTTGGCCATAGTGGAGTTTGGAGTGTGACTGTTTGAGGTTGTGGACAGGTGTCTTTTATACTGATAACAAGTTCAAACAGGTGCCATTAATACAGGTAACGAGTGGAGGACAGAGGAGCCTCTTAAAGAAGAAGTTACAGGTCTGTGAGAGCCAGAAATCTTGCTTGTTTGTAGGTGACCAAATACTTATTTTCCACCATAATTTGCAAATAAATTCATTAAAAATCCTACAATGTGATTTTCTGGATTTTTTTTCCTCAATTTGTCTGTCATAGTTGACGTGTACCTATGATGAAAATTACAGGCCTCTCTCATCTTTTTAAGTGGGAGAACATGCACAATCGGTGGCTGACTAAATACTTTTTTTCCCCCACTGTATGTAATTCTTCTTGATGAATTTGCTTTAAATTAGAACGTCACACACCATCAAAAAGACACACTGGAGACTTGCTTGACAGGTGGAGAGTGGAAATAGCCTTGCAGGTATCTTGGTTCAAGGTCAGCAGCAGTCCAGGAAATAGCCTTGCAGGTATCTTGGTTCAAGGTCAGCAGTAGTCCAGGTAGTGAGTCAGCCCACAGGTCCTGAATTAAATAGATCTTACGATCCTCCCCCACATGACCAGCTAATCAGTCTATAGTTGGCAACAGGCAGGGCCATTTAGAGGGTGTCCTACTGTACAGACAGCGTCCGTAAACTCAATCCATCACCTCTCCTCACCCTCCCTCCTTCCCTGAGCCGGCCGCCCAGAGTTCCCCTTCCTAATTCATTCTCTACAACGTCAAGATAAGATGGGAATTACTTTTTCAGTTTCATGTTTCCCTTCGTCATACATTTTTGTCTGAATTTTTTTCTATTTTACATACTGAGTTTAATCTAATCTTGGCACCCAGAAGCAAATCTGAGCTATTACATTAACGTTTAACATTTTAACTTAAAGGCTGTGTCACGAGAGACTGTGGCTGCATCCTAAATCGCACACTATTTCCTATGTAGTGCACATAGTCCCATAGGGCTCTGGTCAAACGTAGGGCACTATGTAGGGAATAGGATGCCATCTGGAACGCAGCCTATACCTCCACAAAAATAAAACAATTACAACATCCCTAATCCATTTATTTGGTCAGGTGCCATGATTTCTAGGGTTTATGACTAATTTTGTTTTACCGGTAGTCATGTGTTATGGGGGACAGTTCTGGCCATTTACTAATACGGTCACTTTCAACCTCATACTGTGCTCTGGCCTGCTTATCAATCACGTGCACTTGAGATTATGTGATACCCAGTACAGCATTGACATTTACTTGTATCTATTGGTCTGTGCTCAGTTAGACAGAAAACAAAAGAGATAAGGTTCATGGCTCAATACAACCGTTGAACTGTTGTTTAGTAGAAACTAGTGTATGACTATTATGGGATAGGTGGGTGCCTGTAGAAAATGCAGGACATTTCGCAGAAACGTGTTGGAAGAAAAATACATGATTGTGGTGCTCTTTTCAAAGTGCCTGGAACTAAAACGTTATGGCCAAGGGCAAATATATATGTGACTTGTTATTAACCATAAAACAGACTGTATATTAGCAGCAATAACATAACAACTATTCAGTCGGGTAAAGCCTGTGCCTTCAGTAAATGGGCAACATACTCAATCGTCTTTTGAGCCTTTTTATTTCCATTGTGGTTATCATTGTTGTTTCTCTCCTGTCATCTGAGAGAAAACTTAACGTCATGACAGATGAGACCAGCTGTGACCAGCTGTGACCAGCTGAGGGACTAACACTATGACAGATGAGACCAGCTGTGACCAGCTGAGGGACTAATATCATGACGGAAGAGACCAGCTGAGGGACTAATATCATGACGGAGGAGACCAGCTGAGGGACTAATATCATGACGGAAGAGACCAGCTGAGGGACTAATATCATGACGGATGAGACCAGCTGAGGGACTAATATCATGACGGAAGAGACCAGCTGAGGGACTAATATCATGACGGAAGAGACCAGCTGTGACCAACTGAGGGACTAACATCATGACGGAAGAGACCAGCTGAGGGACTAATATCATGACGGAGGAGACCAGCTGAGGGACTAATATCATGACGGAAGAGACCAGCTGAGGGACTAATATCATGACGGAAGAGACCAGCTGAGGGACTAATATCATGACGGATGAGACCAGCTGAGGGACTAATATCATGACGGAAGAGACCAGCTGAGGGACTAATATCATGACGGAAGAGACCAGCTGTGACCAACTGAGGGACTAACATCATGACAGATGAGACCAGCTGAGGGACTAATATCATGACGGATGAGACCAGCTGAGGGACTAATATCATGACGGAAGAGACCAGCTGAGGGACTAATATCATGACGGATGAGACCAGCTGAGGGACTAATATCATGACGGAAGAGACCAGCTGAGGGACTAATATCATGACGGATGAGACCAGCTGAGGGACTAATATCATGACGGAAGAGACCAGCTGAGGGACTAATATCATGACGGATGAGACCTGCTGAGGGACTAATATCATGACGGAAGAGACCAGCTGAGGGACTAATATCATGACGGAAGAGACCAGCTGTGACCAACTGAGGGACTAACATCATGACGGAAGAGACCAGCTGAGGGACTAATATCATGACGGAGGAGACCAGCTGAGGGACTAATATCATGACGGAAGAGACCAGCTGAGGGACTAATATCATGACGGAAGAGACCAGCTGAGGGACTAATACCATGACGGATGAGACCAGCTGAGGGACTAATATCATGACGGAAGAGACCAGCTGAGGGACTATTATCATGACGGAAGAGACCAGCTGTGACCAACTGAGGGACTAACATCATGACAGATGAGACCAGCTGAGGGACTAATATCATGACGGATGAGACCAGCTGAGGGACTAATATCATGATGGAAGAGACCAGCTGAGGGACTAATATCATGACGGATGAGACCAGCTGTGACCAGCTGAGGGACTAACACCATGACTCCCGAGTGGCGCAGTGGTCTAAGGCACTGCATTGCAGTGCTAGCTGTGCCACTAGAGATCCAGGCTCTGTCGTAGCCGGCCGCGACCGGGAGACCCATGGGGCGGCGCACAATTGGCCCAGCGTCGTCCAGGGTAGGGGAGGGAATGGCCGGCAGGGATGTAGCTCAGTTGTGGGTTCGATTCCCACGGGGGGCCAGTATGAAAAAAAAATATTTTAAAAAGGTCAGAAATAAGACAAAAACTATGAAAAAAAATGGTACTATAAAAAAATAAACATTTGAATAACATACAATAAAAAGATTATAAAAATAAACAAAAATAATTATAAAAATGTATGCACTAACTGTAAGTCGCTCTGGATAAGAGCATCTGCTAAATGACTAAAATATAAATGTAATGACAGATGAGACCATCTGAGGGACTAACACTATGACGGATGAGACCAGCTGTGACCAGCTGAGGCAGCCATCTCACGGCAAAAATCACATTTGATTCAATGTGTGGTACATCTTCATGTTTTCCCAATGCTGGGTGATGACTGTAGAAGAATAGCAATGTGAATAATACAAACCCTTACCCTACTCCTCTCTCAAATCTGTTCAAGTCAGAGTAGGAGTGCTGATGCAGGTCTACGATCGGTTTAGCCTTTTAAATCAGAATGAACACAACTGTATGGACAAGGGGAACCTGATCCCAGAGCAGCTTTGTGAATACAGGCCCTGTTATCAAGTTCCATTGAATCAGCCAATATCTCTGTTTGCTTTCCCTGTGAAACGTTTGCTTTAGACTGTTCAGTGTAATGCAAAAAACATGAAAAGAACATCAGGCTCAAGATATAAAGATGACGCACTCATCAAAACATTGAAACCTTTCAAGAAAAAGCACATTTTGTATTTCAATACAATTCCATGAAATGAGTGATACTGTGGTAAAAGATACACCAATTTAACAAGTCTTACTAACCTCCAAAGATCTGCATTCTTCAATAAGTACAATTTCAAACAGCTTGTGAGCGTGGCTTTTTGTTCAAACTCATGGGTTCAACGCCAGTGCAAATAAGCTTTACTGCATCCACTGCAATATTATACTGGCTTCATCCCAAAATTGCACCCTATTCCCTATATAGCGCCACTATTCCCTATGTAGTGTCCTACTTTTGACCATAGGGTCCTGGTCAAATGTAGTGCGCTAAATAGGGAAATAGGGTGCCATTTGGGACACAGATACTATTGCCTCAATATCAATACAGCAGCAGGATGAATGAATGGGCTGCAGAATGCGGGACTTGGACAGAAGCATTAGAACATGTGGATCTAACAGCCACAGCAAGTCTACTGTTTTACTCTGAGTCATTAAGCACTGTTTTATCACCGAGCTAGCAGAGGCAGCCAGGACGTTTTTCTGCATGGAATAGCACATCTCATTTCCAGAGCCTGTAGATTAAGAATGGGGTGCGTCACAAATGGCACCCTATTCCCTACATAGTGCACTACTTTTGACCAGAGCCCCATAGGGAATAGGGTGCCATTTGTGACGTAAAGTGGGTCTCTATTACAGCAAGGCCATTAAAACAAAAACAATGTCCATCCTTGGGATATACACTACCGTTCAAAAGTTTGGGGTCACTTAGAAATGTCCTTGTTTTCGAAAGAAAAGCATTTTTTTTTGGTCCAATAAAATAACATCAAATTGATCAGAAATACAGTGTAGACATTGTTAATGTTGTAAATGGCTATTGTAGCTGGAAACGGCAGATTTTTTATGGAATATCTACATAGGCGCACAGAGGCCCGTTATCAGCAACAATCAGTCCTGTGTTCCAATGGCACGTTGTGTTTGCTAATCCAAGTTGATCATTTTAAAAGGCTAATGGATAATTAGAAAACCCTTTTGCAATTATGTTAGCACAGCTGAAAACTGTTGTGCTGATTAAAGAAGCAATAAAACTGGCCTTCTTGAGACTAGTTGAGTATCTGGAGCATCAGCAATTGTGGGTTCGATTACAGGCTCAAAATGGCCAGAAACAAATAACTTTCTTCTGAAACTCGTCAGTCTATTCTTGTTCTGAGAAATGAAGGCTATTCTATGCGAGAATTTGCCAAGAAACTGAAGATCTCGTACAACGCTGTGTACTACTCCCTTCACAGAACAGCTCAAACTGTCTCTAACCAGAATAGAAAGAGGAGTGGTAGGCCCCGGTGCACAACTGAGCAAGAGGACAAATACATTAGAGTGTCTAGTTTGAGAAACAGACGCCTCTCAGGTCCTCAACTGGCAGCTTCATTAAATAGTACCCGCAACACACCAGTCTCAATGTCAACAGTGAAGAGGCGACTCCCAGGGATGCTGACCTTCTAGGCAGAGTTGCAAAGAAAAAGCCATATCTCAGACTGGCCCAATAAAAAACTTTCTTTTATGGGCCAGTCTGAGATATGGCTTTTTCTTTGCAACTCTGCCTAGAAGGTCAGCATCCCGGGAGTCGCCTCTTCACTGTTGACATTGAGACTGGTGTGTTGCGGGTACTATTTAATGAAGCTGCCAGTTGAGGACCTGTGAGGCGCCTGTTTCTCAAACTAGACACCCTAGCCGCTCCCCTGTACCATCCACTGAACTGTGCTGAGATAACTAATGCTGAGGAAGTCAGTTATGCGTGACAGGGTACCATTTCGAAGAACAGTCTCAGGTTTGAATTTGGCTTTTCGCCATAACACAATGATTATTATCATTAGTAATGCTTTACTTAAAAATAATAGTAGTAGCAGTAGCTAGCTAGCTAAAAGTAGTAGTAATGATATAGCAGCAGTTAAATAATGTGATGTGGTGACAGGCCTAGTACATTTAAAAAACAGTGAACCTGTTAAACTCCACCATAAAGCCAACTGTCTGTCCCAGGCATTAGCTAGCAGGGGTCGCTCCACCATAAAGCCAACTGTCTGTCCCAGGCATTAGCTAGCAGGGGTCGCTCCACTATAGAGCCAACTGTCTGTCCCAGGCTTTAGCTAGCAGGGGTCGCTCCACTATAGAGCCAACTATCTGTCCCAGGCATTAGCTAGCAGGGGTCGCTCCACCATAAAGCCAACTGTCTGTCCCAGGCATTAGCTAGCAGGGGTCGCTCCACTATAGAGCCAACTGTCTGTCCCAGGCATTAGCTAGCAGGGGTCGCTCCACTATAGAGCCAACTGTCTGTCCCAGGCTTTAGCTAGCAGGGGTCGCTCCACTATAGAGCCAACTATCTGTGCCAGGCTTTAGCTAGCAGGGGTCGCTCCACCATAAAGCCAACTGTCTGTCCCAGGCTTTAGCTAGCAGGGGTCGCTCCACTATAGAGCCAACTGTCTGTCCCAGGCTTTAGCTAGCAGGGGTCGCTCCACCATAAAGCCAACTATCTGTCCCAGGCATTAGCTAGCAGGGGTCGCTCCACTATAGAGCCAACTATCTGTCCCAGGCATTAGCTAGCAGGGGTCGCTCCACCATAAAGCCAACTGTCTGTCCCAGGCATTAGCTAGCAGGGGTCGCTCCACTATAGAGCCAACTGTCTGTCCCAGGCTTTAGCTAGCAGGGGTCGCTCCACCATAAAGCCAACTGTCTGTCCCAGGCATTAGCTAGCAGGGGTCGCTCCACTATAGAGCCAACTGTCTGTCCCAGGCATTAGCTAGCAGGGGTCGCTCCACCATAAAGCCAACTGTCTGTCCCAGGCTTTAGCTAGCAGGGGTCACTCCACTATAGAGCCAACTGTCTGTCCCAGGCATTAGCTAGCAGGGGTCGCTCCACCATAAAGCCAACTATCTGTCCCAGGCATTAGCTAGCAGGGGTCGCTCCACTATAGAGCCAACTATCTGTCCCAGGCATTAGCTAGCAGGGGTCGCTCCACCATAAAGCCAACTGTCTGTCCCAGGCATTAGCTAGCAGGGGTCGCTCCACTATAAGAGCCAACTGTCTGTCCCAGGCATTAGCTAGCAGGGGTCGCTCCATTACAGAGCCAACTATCTGTCCCAGGCATTAGCTAGCAGGGGTCGCTCCACCATAAAGCCAACTGTCTGTCCCAGGCATTAGCTAGCAGGGGTCGCTCCACTATAGAGCCAACTGTCTGTCCCAGGCATTAGCTAGCAGGGGTCACTCCACCATAAAGCCAACTGTCTGTCCCAGGCATTAGCTAGCAGCGGTCGCTCCACTATAGAGCCAACTGTCTGTCCCAGGCTTTAGCTAGCAGGGGTCGCTCCACTATAGAGCCAACTATCTGTCCCAGGCTTTAGCTAGCAGGGGTCGCTCCACCATAAAGCCAACTGTCTGTCCCAGGCATTAGCTAGCAGGCCAGAGCAGAGGAGAGACAGTGTTAGTGTTATGACACACTTCCATAACAGACAGGGTTAGTGGACCACATGTATGGCTGCTGCTGGATAGAGCACTGGCCTTAAGGATCATCATGTCCTTCATAATATATAGTTTGTGTAACATACATTGGGCCAAGTCACCTCACAGCCTCACAGCCTCACAACCTTGATCAGCACAGTCACTTTAAGCACAGGTCCACAACTGGGCCTTATATCAGGATAGGGGTAAAGGACATTTTGTAGACGTCTGTTTTCAGATGTGATGGTGCATTATAGAAATACTCTACTGTGCACACACTGGTTGAATCAACATGATTGTTTCCACGTCATTTCAATGAAATTACGTTAAACCAACTTGTTATAGATGTTGAATTGACGTCTGTGCCCAGTGGGATTTTGCATGCAGAATATAATTGAAAATAACTTTTTATTGTTTTATTTTACCTGCATTTGAATTTTTCCTGCATTGACTTACTTCCATCCCACATATTGGATATTTGCTGATGATGCAAACAGGGAATTGGCTGCAGAAACTGAAATGTTTTAATCATGAAATGCATTTCTTTATCCTCATTCAGTATAAATGAATACTGTTCATTGGTGAAAGTAGCCTGTATTGAGCTCATTATTGTATGAAGCTGGTAACAGTAGTCAGTGACGGGTAGTGCTGAGCGATTAGTGCTTTTTTTCGGTCTTTTTGAGATCGGTTTGGTTTCGGTTCGATTATTTAAAGAATATCACGGTTTTGAATGTATTTTTGTAGACATTAAATGCAATATGCATTATGTGGGTTGAATGCTGTAACAACACTGAATAAAACAATTAATAAAAGTCCCCACAATGGTAGTGACTGCGCATTAATGCTTATCACTTATTAACCATCAGTTATTCACATTACTTTACTTTAATAAAATGTTTAGTTTTATTTGATGACTTTATTATTTCATTCCAAGTCATCATCTCATCTCTAGAGCTGCTGCCTATGCTGTCTGACAAAATCACTATTTTAGTAGTTCTTCAACGTAAATAAAAGCATACTTTTATGACTGCTCAATACAATACCAACTATCAATCACTCAGATCATGTATCTTCAGGCTAGCGAAGCAACTGCTTTCTATCCCTCTCAATCGTTCGTTCTCTCTCCAGTCTCTGTGTCTGCTCCGCATAGACCGGACATGTTTAAGCTGATACGCAATGGATTGTGGTCATTGAAGTTAATTACTATGTTTTCTGCACTAAACTATGTAGAATATTGGCCTGTTGGAAACTACAACTCCCTACGACGTGGAAGAGGTCAGGCTTCATCTGATTTATCTCTACAGAAACTGCACATCGAGCTCACAGAAAAAAACGAACGAAATGGAATTCAATTATTCAAATTGAACCGACGTTGATCAATTAGTTGTTAAAAAAACGAAAAATAAACCGAAATGTCGGTTAATTGCTCAGCACTAGTGAGGGGTCAATGTAGACTACTTGTGATTACATCCATGTTAATTATAAACCGATCCAGAGTGCCATTAATCCTATAGGTTCTGGAGAGATTATGGGCAGCAGTATTTTTCCTTTGATACATTTTTGGGGGGTTAGTATACAGTCAATGCGCACCACATACGGAGCGCAGCGCACCTCTCGTCATCCCACGCCGCCTGCACTCAAGAGATGGAGCTGCGGAATCCGGTTACATCAGCGCCCCTGACAGTTGCTTGGCAACCAAATGATGTCAGTGTGCCTCTCCTCCTCAAACCACGTGTTCCGTACATAATAACTGGCTGCTCAGCGCACTGGATAGGCACTTATGACTGATCGTTTTCTCCGCCAGGGCTCTCGCTGTACTCACTTTACGCATGAAGTGGAGCAATTGGTTCTAGAGCAACGAGCGTCTTCTCCATAACGGAGCTCTCTATTTCTACTGCTTGTTTTTTGCAAGTGGATTTATCTTTTTGTTCAATATGGCTGTTACGGAGGCTCCATGCGACTTGTCTTATTGCAAGATGAGAGGAATTGTGTCCGTTCTCACTGGTAGGCATGTTATTCTGTTATTTCTGTTATTCTGAGTTCAATGTTTTTATTTAGATTCTAGGCTTACATTGTGCTGTTGAATGGAATGTGCATCGGTATGCTTTAGATTGTGAGTTTTTGCTGGACAGTCTATTGGTGTATATTCTTTCCTGAGTAGTTATTGTAGCCTTCGATCTGAAACTTGCATAACTGGCAATGGGAGTGCATGCACTAAATTAAACATTGGAATGCGCCCATATGTCAATTGATAATGAGTTGTCCCGATATATAGTGCACTTGTCGCACTATGTAGGCCTATGTGATATAGGCTATGAGCTTTATATTTCACTATGCGACGCTCCGGGTCGCAGAAGGAGTAGGCTATATACAATAATATTGTGTTGCGTAACGACTACATTACGCAGATAATGCGTTATAACGGGATCAATTCAAGCATCATTTTGAAGCTCCGAAAAAATACAACATGACAATTATGCACAGTTTTAGTCCGGCTATATATCTATGTTGACCTGTGTGACGAAATGTAGGCTATGGTTTCCCAGATATCAATGTCCCAGTATCTAGCCTATAGGTAGACTAGATATACAAAAAAGTATGTGGACACCCCTTCAAATTAGTCGATTCGGCTATTTCAGCCACACCCGTTGCTGACAGGTGTATAAAATCGAGCACACAGCCATGCAATCTCCATAGACAAACATTGGCAGTAGAGAGCTTAGTGACGGTCAACGGGGCACCATCATAGGATGCCACCTTTCCAACAAGTCAGTTCGTCAAATTTCTGCACTGCTGGAGCTGCCCCGCTCAACTGTAAGTGCTGTTATTGTGAAGTGGAAACATCTAGGAGCAACAATGGCTCAGCCACTAAGTGGTAGGCCACACAAGCTCACAGAACGGGACCGCCGAGTGCTGAAGCACTTACGTAGCGTGTAAAAATCGTCTGTCCTCGGTTGCAACACTCACTACCGAGGTCCAAACTGCCTCTGGAAGCAACGTCAGCACAATAACTGTTCGTCGGGAGCTTCATGAAATGGGTTTCCAAGGCCGAGCAGTCACACACAAGCCTAAAATCACCATGCGCAATGCCAAGCGTCGGCTGGAGTGGTGTAAAGCTCGCCGACATTGGACTCTCGAGCAGTGGAAGTGCGTTCTCTGGAGTGATGAATCACGCTTCACCATCTGGCATTCCGGTGGACGAATCTGGTTTGGCGGATGCCAGGAGAATGCTACCTGCCCCAATGCATAGTGCCAACTGTAAAGTTTGGTGGAGGAGGAATAATTGTCTGGGGCTGTTTTTCATGGTTCGGGCTAGGCCCCTTAGTTCCAGTGAAGGGAAATCTTAACGCTACAGCATACAATGACATTCTAGACAATTCTGTGCTTCCAACTTTGTGGCCTGCACAGAGCCCTGACCTCAACTCCATCGAACACCTTTGGGATGAATTAGAACGCCGACTGCAAGCCAGGCCTAATCGCCCAACATCAGTGCTGACCTCACTAATGCTCTTGTGGCTGAATGGAAGCAAGTCCCCGTAGCAATGTTCCAACATCTAGTGGAAAGCCTTCCCAGAAGAGTGGAGGCTGTTATAGCAGCAAAGGGGGGACCAACTCCATATTAATGCCCATGATTTTGGAATGAGATGTTCGACAAGCAGGTGTCCACATACTTCTGGTCATGTAGTGTATATTGAAATACAATGCTCAATCTGATCAGTGACGTTGTATTCTCTGGGCACCCAGCTGACATAAATGCCTCTTTTTGAATTGCAGCTTTTATCAAGGAGAGGAAAATGGGCCTGAACGACTTAATCTCGAAGTTGGTGTCAAACCCACATATCTGTCAACAGTAAGTATTATGTGGAGCACTTGTGTGACCAAAAATGAGATGTTTGGATATTATATAGGCCATCAACTTCCGTCGCAACATAACAATAATTTAAGTATAAATATTTATCAAATAGTATCTGCACTGCACACATTAGGCCCCCTCTGTGGGTCAGTTCATCCACTTCCCACAGCATTACATCAGGCCTCTCTGTGGGTCAGTTCATCCAATTCCCTCAGCATTACATCAGGCCTCTCTGTGGGTCAGTTCATCCACTTCCCACAACATTACATCAGGCCTCTCTGTGGGTCAGTTCATCCACTTCCCACAGCATTACATCAGGCCTCTCTGTGGGTCAGTTCATCCACTTCCCACAGCATTACATTAGGCCAATGCATTTATTTATAATTGTATAGGTTTACCCCGCAGGTCAGTGAGTAATCCAATCCAATAAGCCTTTACGTGACGTAACTATCATGAGTGTGCTGGCCGTACATTCTAAGTCAAAGCAGTAATCTGGTGCCAAGCAGGCAAAGCCAGCGCAAGAATAGTTATTTCATGTCAAGTGTGTTCCTGCCCGCTGCCTAAGCACCTTTTCTGCAAATCCCCAGTGTCCCCTAGACAGGGATAGCTGGGTAATTCAATTAACCTCCTAGGGCTTAGTGGTCACATACGTGGACAGCACTTTTTAGCTCTTATGTCCACAATTGTGTAGAAGTTCTGTCATATTTCATGGCTTATTCTGATTTAGATATTTATAAAAGCCTTGTATATTTGTCATGACATGCAAATTTGAAAAAAAAAGTGTAAAACTAGCAACTTTGTAGGTCGCTAAACATGAAGTACACGTAAGTGTACTTATGGACTGAGGCTCCTCGAAACAGCTAATATGCTTGTAAACATGCACACACGTAAAATGGGAAAAAAGCTAGCTCTGATGCAGCTAAAAAGCTGTACATGGTCCCAATGAAATAAATAACAATTAAATCACTAAATACATACATACATACTTAAATTAGTTGTGTTGAAAATGTTAGCCTAATGCAATTCGGACCATGAATCCACATATGTGGACATCATTTTTCTCTAAAAGTACATCATATCAAAAGATGATACTTAGTTTTTATTCTAATTAGGTTCCAATAAGCCCAAATAGCAAAGAGAAATAAAAAATGCATGTAAAAAAACAGCTTGGGCCTTAAGAGGTTAAGCACTCACCACACACGATATGGTTTGTTCTCAACAGCCTGGCAAGCGGCCAGGTGGGGGTCTGGCTCAGAGGGACATTCCCAAGCACCTTATCTACCCTCTTCAGTAGCTCTCAAGAACCCAAGTGGGCCCTGTTCACAGCCTCTTAGGTTCTCAGCTGATGGTACTGATCCCAGCTCCACTCATGAACTACAATCCCGACCCTCTGTTTAATCCCAACGCTCTGTGTAAATGAAAATAAGCCTAAATTGCAATACGGTTTTGTAAAACCTTTGTAACTTAACTTTTATATAAGCGAGATAGAATCTTTCGAATAGAAAAGATACACCTACTGTGTGCAGTTTAGCAAAGTTGCACCCGGCTGTTTTCACCCGTTGCCTCTGCTACGACACATCCTCATTCCATTGGACCATTCCATTCCACATTTCCTGTGTTTCTCAAAATACAGCCGGGTGCAACTTTCCTAAACTGCATGCAGTAAGTCTATATTTTCTATTAGAAAAATGCGTTCTCGCCTAAACGAAAGTTACATTTAAAATGTCTCCAAAACTGTATCGCGTGCGAGGCGTATATTTGCGTTTAGACAAAGCATGGGCAGCATCGGAGGCGGCAGACAGCTTTGTGAATAGACAATCTCTGGTTTGAAACCCAGAGACCGACTTGGTGAAAAAAATCTGCCAATGTGCCTTTGAGCAAGGCACTTAACCCTAATTGCTTCTGTAATCTCGTTCTGGATAAGAGCATCTGCTAAATGACTAAAATGTAAAATTTACATGGTGTATTTAGTGGGTCAACAACAACTTAATTGTCTCTCAGTTAGAAAAGATACCCTTATTGTCTATCAGGAGTTAGAGAAAATACCCTTTTTGAAAGCCTGCTTGTCCTCATGGGTCAGATCAACTTTAAATGACAGATGGAACCTTCTCTATCTATTTGCTAAATGTAATCACTGTAAAACTCACCCTTGTTCACCTGATATACCAACAGTCACAGGCATTGCAATGTCCGACTTCCAAAATGAGTACCAATCATAGTAATTGTAATACTGGCCTTCGATGCCACGCAAATTGATACTGTTATAATTTATGCGCTCTAGAAAATACGATGTCATCAGAGGTCATCCCTAAAAATCACAAAGTGGCAAATGTCAGTCAAAATAACATCAGAGAATCATCAGTGGCGGAGGATTCCATTTTAACGTTCTAAAGTTTTAACGTTCTAACATTCTCTCTGTTCATTCCTCAGCTCTGAAGTTGACTTCCTCAAGATCAATGAGAACCAGAATGAAGAGCTGGATGATGATGAACTTCTGAATCCAGTGAGCATAACACTTGGCTTGGCCCTTGGGGCAGACAGAAAGAGTTAAACCCAAATGGCACCATGTTCCCCATAGTGCACTCCTTTTGACCATGGCTCATAGGGCTCTCTGGTCAAAAGTAGTGCACTATATAGGGAATAGGCTGCCATTTGGGACGTATACTGAAAGATTCACATGGGTGTGAATAGATCATTTAATCCAGAGATGGTTGTTCTTACCTTCCTCCTCTCTCCTACTTTTCCCAGATGTTCCTGACCTCCCCCAGAAGCTCACTGGCTGAGGAGTTGGCGATCAAACCATGTGATTTTGACTACCTGAAAATCATCGGCAAAGGGAGCTTTGGGAAGGTGCTGCTGGCTCGACACAGGGACAGCAACGAGTATTACGCCGTCAAGGTTCTACAGAAGAAAATCATCTTGAAGAAGAAAGAGGTGAGTCTTTACTGATCTTCACTATAAAACACACAATCAATACTCCAAGCCTACTGCAATGGCCACAAACACATACAACCAGTTAGCTGCTCACTCAGAGGTTTCTATTGGTTACTTAATCAATATATTACTGTCATTGTGAATGGTATGCTCACCTCTCTCTTTCTCTTCCTCATCCAGCAAAAGCATATCATGGCGGAGCGAAGTGTCCTGATGAAGAATATCAAACATCCTTTCCTGGTGGGGCTGCACTACTCCTTCCAGACTACTGACAAACTCTACTTTGTCCTCGACTACGTGAATGGAGGAGAGCTGTTCTACCATCTCCAGAGAGAGAGGGTGTTTCTAGAACCCAGAGCCAGGTTCTACGCTGCAGAGATCGCCAGTGCTCTGGGATACCTCCACTCCCTGCATATTGTTTACAGGTACAAACTAAGATCCTATCCTACACCATCCCCTGGTGGTGGCTATATGTAATAGCACATGACAGGAAAAATACCACTCATAATGTGTAGTCTGGTTTTTGCCCTAAAACGTGCACCCGGGGAGGGGGGTTCCCTGGACCGAGTTTGGGAAACCCTGGTCTAGTCTAGTGAATAAGGACCGTAGTGGAAGTTAAACGCACGTAGACACTGTTTACCCACCTTTTTTTATTTTGCATGAGCGTTTACCCACCTTTTGTGGAAAAATGCATTGAAAGTATAGGAAGCGTTACTTTACTCACCGCAAACCGCGATCATCGTTTACCCACCAATTGTTTTTACCATTACATCACTAACCACGTTTCCATCCACAGTTTTTATGCGAGTGAAGTCATACTGTATAAAATACAATAAAAAATCAGGACAGCCGTGATGGAAAAAGGAAGTTTCGGTACAATTTAATAAATGCTGAAAGATCATTTCGACAAGGTGGTATCTTTTTGTGTCTGTAAAATTAATTATGCAAGAAATGGATGTGGAAACTCCTTAATGCACAAATATTGATATAACAACCATCATATCGATATGGTGTGTGGTCCTCCCACTCCATTAAGGGAAACCATGCAGTTTATTAGGCTACAGATTAAATAAATTGAGATGAACTTCACTGGGTGGTGAAAGTTCATCTCAGGCTCTGTCGTAGCCGGCCGCGACCGGGAGACCCATGGGGCGGCGCATAATTGGCCCTGCGTCGTCCAGGGTAGGGGAGGGAATGGCCGGCAGGGATGTAGCTCAGTTGGTAGAGCATGGCGTTTGCAACGCCAGGGTTGTGGGTTCAATTCCCACGGGGGGCCAGTTTGAAAAATAAAAGAATGTATGCACTCACTAACTGTAAGTCGCTCTGGATAAGAGCGTCTGCTAAATGACTAAAATGTAAAATGTAATGTAAATGTAAAGAGCACGGTGATCTTGATGCTCCTTTCCAATACATATCGAGGGGATTATTCTGATGACTGATGCTTTACTGCTGTTTGACAAATACTCACTCTTATCCAGTGCTTAATTTGTAAATCTGGAAGAGCCGGAACAAAAAGTGACCTGGGGAGCTCAGAGGTACTGGAACACATGAGAAGAAAACCTAATCACATTTATAATAAAGCATTTCATGCATATTTACATTTACGTCATTTAGCAGACACTCTTATCCAGAGCGACTTACAGTTTAGTGAGTACATTACTTTTTATTCATACTGGCCCCCGTGGGAATCGAACCCACAACCCTGGCGTTGTAAACGCCATGCTCTATCAACTGAGCTACATCCCTGCCGGCCATTCCCTCCCCTACCCTGGACGACGCAGGGCCAATTGTGCGCCGCCCCATGGGTCTCCCAGTCACGGCCGGATACGACAGAGCCTGGATTCGAACCAGGATCTCTAGTGGCACAGCGATGCAGTGCCTTAGACCACTGCGCCACTCGGGAGCACATATCATCACATTTGCATTGTGGCATAGCACAGTAGAGTAGAGGAACTTACAAAAGTTGCACACATGGAGGAAAAAAATTGTGGCCTAGGGTACGGGACATTTTTGTCCTTGTATAAACGCATTTCATATGCAATTCTACATGACTAGAGATTTAGGCATAATCTTTTTTAATGCCACGTTCAAAACAACTGGGAACTCGGAGCTGGGAAATCTCAGACTTCCGAGCGTTCAAGACAACTGGGAAATCGGGGGGGAAATGAGCTCCGACTGGGAAAATTCGTTTTGAACTGTCATCCAACTCGGAATTCCAAATAGGGAACTCTGGCCTCTTTCTACAGCTCTGACTTTCCGACCTGAAGATCACTGACGTCATGATTCGACCTCGTATTCTTTCTATTTCCCAGTTGTTTTGAAAGCACCATAATACAGCACAAAATGTCTGCAAATCAAATGATCGAAATGAGAGGCTACTTTGACGCAGACAAAATGAGAATCTGAGATCAATGAAAACGACCTTGTCTTGAATCCATCAATATCCTAGGCCTAGGTGTGTGGAGACATATTGTAGGCTACAATATGAGGAGGAAATTATAGTCCTAAAAATGCTTTCCAGTTTTACTGACTCACCCAATGATGTTCAGCTCACTCGCTGGTGATGGCCGATGCGCTCGTGCCAAAAGCCTCTCTCTCTCTCTTATTTTACTTTGTAAAATAATATTTTGATGTTGATCAAATATTTTGGTATCCTACAGCTGACAGATTAGTCTTCTCTTTTCAGCAGGAGACATTTGCTTTCCAACCTGTGTTTTCCGGCGATTGTAGACTATTTTAAATATTGCGAAAGGCCAGTTTTGTCTGCATAGCACTGCTATCCATAATAATCATGTAGACTAGCCTACCCGCGCTGTATCTGTTAGCTGTTGGCTAGAGAATGCCAAGAACAGAGTAGGCACATTTGCTATTTAACTTAACAGTTTTTGTGACAAAACTATCCGTAGAGTTGAAAATGCGATGGAAACACATTGAACTTTAGATTTCTATTCAGTACATAAAAACTTAAGCGAAAAAGTACATTTTGTGTGCACTACGTCAACACCCACTGATTTTTATCTGCAGCAAGTCTGTTTGGTGGAAACACACCGCTGGTGGGAGAATGCGCATATTGTCTTTGTGCGGAATTTAGAATATTTGCATTAAAATCTGTCGCCCGATTGGATGGAAACCTCGCTAGTGATAAAAGGACTGAATGCTAAAAGGGATACTGAAAAGGACTGAATGCTAAAAGGGATACTGAAAAGGACTGAATGCTAAGGGATACTGAAAAGGACTGAATGCTAAGGGATACTGAAAAGGACTGAATGCTAAGGGATACTGAAAAGGACTGAATGCTAAGGGATACTAGGTAATGAATGTGACTAGAACAATCTAAATATTGTATTTATTTGGGTGCCTTTTTCATAAACCTCTCCCCCTTCTCTGCCCCTTCACAGAGATCTGAAGCCTGAGAATATCCTGCTAGCCTCTACAGGCCACATCGTCCTGACAGACTTTGGCCTCTGCAAAGAGGGCCTGACGCCCACTGGGACCACCAGCACCTTCTGTGGAACCCCAGAGTACCTGGCCCCAGAGGTGCTGCAGAAGCAGGCGTACGACCGCACAGTGGACTGGTGGTGCCTGGGCTCAGTGCTGTACGAGATGCTCTACGGACTGGTGAGTCATCCGTACGCTTTTTCACCATCTCTGCCTTTCATGGTTCAGTTTTCTTTCACTTTTCACAATGCATCTAAATGTGTTATTCAATATGGTACCCTAAAAAATGGCACCCCTATCCCAAATTGTACCCTATTCCCTGGTCAAAGTTAGGGTACTATAAAGGGAATAGGGTGCCATTTGGGATACAAGCCTATGACACTATGTCACTATGTCAGTTCAATATAGAGAATGCCATTACAAATCACAAGTACACTGACAATCATGGTGCCTGGTGCGTTAAGAGCTTGACTAAGTAGCATGTACACATTTCTTCTCTTTGTCTCCTCCATAGCCACCCTTCTACAGTCGTAACACAGCTGAGATGTACAGCAATATCCTGAACAAGCCTCTGATACTGAAGCCTAACGTGTCCAACTCAGGCAGGGAAATGTTGGAGGGACTCCTGCAAAAGGACCGCACCAAGAGGCTGGGAGTGAAAGACGATTTTGTAAGTATATATATATATATATTATATATTGTGACAGATATATATATCACAGGAGGTTGGTGGCACCTTAATTGGGGAGGACGGGCTCACGGTAATGGCTGGAGCGGAATGGGTGGAATGGTATCAAATACATCAAACACATGGTTTCCATGGTTTCCAGGTGTTTGATGCCATTCCATTTGCTCCATTCCAGCCATTATTATGAGCTGTCCTCCCCTCAGCAGCCTCCACTGATATACACACACACACACACACACACACACACACACACACACACACACACACAAAACAACGCAGAACAATCCATGTACTATTACAAGACATAAAACAATTCTAACAAGGTGTCAGTAAAGTTGTTCTGTAGTGTTCTGTGCCAGTGGGTTGATGTAGTGTCTCTATGTACCTGTAGATGGAGCTGAAGTGCCACAACTTCTTCTCACCCATCAACTGGGATGACCTGATGGCCAGGAAGATCACACCACCTTACATTCCCTCAGTGGTACGTACATTTATCAGAAGACTGTATGCTGTAGATGGGGAACTACCTCTAGCCCACGCCTCCACCGATCCCAATGCTTTTAGACTTGTGGGGAAGTAGTGAACAAGTTCACACTTCAGGAAGAAAGGAGATATTGGAACTTACCTTTATGCGTGTGAAATGTGAATTTGATGTTTGTTGTTTCGGAGCCCGTCTCTAATGCACTTCTCTGGTTGGTTGGCTTTCACAGAGCGGGCCCACGGACCTCAGGCACTTTGACCCAGAGTTCACCCACCTCCCTGTGACCTCGTCGCTGTGCAACACGGACGGCCTGATGGTGACCAGCAGCATCAAGGAGGCAGCTGGAGCATTCCCAGGCTTCTCCTATGGGCCTGCTGACGGCTTCATGTGAAGGAGTCCTCTGTCCACCTCTATCCTCATCACCTCTGTAGAACAAATAAAACACAGAGATACACGTACTGTATGAGTGATGTGGGAGGTGTGCATGACCCGCTAATAAGGCTCCTGAGAGGAAAAGGGGGTCTAGAACTCCAGATCTTGTGGGATTGTTGCATGAGGGGTGTACATTGCACGGGACTCCAATCTTCAACACCAACGATCCTAACCTACCTGATGCAAAGTGTGCCAAGGTGGGACATCGTTTTTTTGTACCACAGGGAGAAAGGACATTTCTCTCTAATCGCTGTGGACCACGACCACTGTCAGAAAAAAAAAGAGTGAAGTGCCTGAAGTTTCAAGGCAGCGAGAACAGAGAGCAGCACTGTACCAGCAGGGTTGTATCAAACACAAAGACTGTCCAGTCTGTTTAGACCTTATGACCCCTGTCGCTAGCTGTAGAGGGCCTTGCCTTCCTGATCATTCTGTATAGATTGAAGACTTACATTGTCACAATGCATTTGTTGTCGTTTGTTATGTGAATGCTGGATTGCACTTGAGGCATTAAGGGTGATGAAGGTGATTGCATTGCTTAAGCATCCACTCTGTCTGTTGTTCAGCTGCATATCTGTTCACCCCTGAAAATCGTAATATGAATATCTGTTCACCTTCAAAATATTAATATTAATATCTGTTCACCATCACAATCCTATTAGCTAAACAAGTAGGAAAACACCAGAATGGATCAACATGAAATACGTTTGTTTTGGATCAAATAGGGTACTATGGTACAATCTGAACTAAATTCAACCGGTGACCAATTTTTCTCCACATGCAGAAAATGTTGGGGCAAAAAAATTACAATGTGTAGAAAGCAGACACAAAATATTATATTTTTACAAGAAATCTGCAATATAATTTCATGTTATATTAACTGAATCTGACCAAAAAGTCCATTGGTTTTCCATTTCCAGGTACTGTTCATCTTAATACTATATATCCGTCCCGAGTAATTACAAAGCACTCTTTTCAAAAACATGTTTTTCACTTGGCTCCTTAACAGAAAGCAAATAGAAATATATTACCAAGCTCTAAAACAATTTATACATCTAAAAAGAAATGTACTCCCTAAGTGGGAAAAATCCTGTCTTATTTTCTAACCTATCTTCTTCTAATACCTGCACTTTACACATTTACCCACCTAAGACTGTGTTGACAACTTGTGTTGACATGCTGTTTGTAGAACTCATTCATATATTTGTATCATAAATACAGAAAATGGGGTAAATGATTTTACCAGCAATACTAGGTCTTCTGCAGTAATAGCACATATTATATCAATCATTGTTATTCTCGTGAGTGAAAGTGATTGCTGTTTTGCTGGCAAAACACTAGATAATCCCATTAGATTGTTATGTACTGTATACCCATTTGCATCGTGTACAGAACTCCTGCTAGATTGATAGAAAGGTACTGTGAATGTCTTTCATTTAAAGTGTGCCTGTCTGTCCCAGCCATGTTAGGATAGGAAGTCCTGATCCATATGTGCGTATCTATTTATTCCCAGTTATCCTCATGGTCTAGATCAGTGTTTCCCAAACTCGGTCCCAAACTCTGTATTTTTTGCCCTAGAACTACACAGCTGATTTAAATAATAATAATAATATGCCATTTAGCAGACACTTTTATCCAAAGCGACTTACAGTCCCGTTTGCATAAATTTTTACGTATGGGTGGCCCCGGGGATCGAACCCACTACCCTGGCATTACAAGCGCCATGCTCTACCAATTGAGCTACAGAGGACCAACTCATCATCAAGCTTTGATTATTTGAATCACACTGTGTAGTTCTAGGGCAAAAACCAAAACGTGCACCCAGTGTGGGCCCCGGGACCGAGTTTGGGAAACCCGGGGTCTAGACAACGACCTGAAAAGTTGTGCTGCTACAATGATGAGAGCTTAGACTGAAATGACTCTTTGTAGACGGTTTATTTACTGATGGCCATGAATAGTGTAATAACCATCACAGGCTTTCTCCATGTATATTTATTTACATGTCATGACACATAATGTACTGTATGTTTAAAGACCAGAGGACAAATTCCTAGTATGGATAAATTAAAGATTGAATTGTAATCTATCTTTTCAAAATGGTAAATAAAATGTATTGACCAAATTCAAATGGAATGTGTCAACCGAGTGTTTTTCTGGAGGCCAGTTTGATATTGAATCAAGGAGTTACAAAAATATATACAGTGGGGAAAAAAAGTATTTAGTCCGCCACCAATTGTGCAAGTTCTCCCACTTAAAAAGATGAGAGAGGCCTGTAATTTTCATCATAGGTACACGTCAACTATGACAGACAAAATGAGAAAAAATAATCCAGAAAATCACATTGTAGGATTTTTAATGAATTTATTTGCAAAATATGGTGGAAAATAAGTATTTGGTCAATAACAAAAGTTTCTCAATACTTTGTTATATACCCTTTGTTGGCAATGACACAGGTCAAACGTTTTCTGTAAGTCTTCACAAGGTTTTCACACATTGTTGCTGGTATTTTGGCCCATTCCTCCATGCAGATCTCCTCTAGAGCAGTGATGTTTTGGGGCTGTCGCTGGGCAACACAGTTTTTCAACTCCCTCCAAAGATTTTCTATGGGGTTGAGATCTGGAGACTGGCTAGGCCACTCCAGGACCTTGAAATGCTTATTACGAAGCCACTCCTTCGTTGCCCGGGCGGTGTGTTTGGGATCATTGTCATGCTGAAAGACCCAGCCACATTTCATCTTCAATGCCCTTGCTGATGGAAGGAGGTTTTCACTCAAAATCTCATGATACATGACCCCATTCATTCTTTCCTTTACACGGATCAGTCGTCCTGGTCCCTTTGCAGAAAAACAGCCCCAAAGCATGATGTTTCCACCCCCATGCTTCACAGTAGGTATGGTGTTCTTTGGATGCAACTCAGCATTCTTTGTCCTCCAAACACGACGAGTTGAGTTTTTACTAAAAAGTTATATTTTGGTTTCATCTGACCATATGACATTCTCCCAATCCTCTTCTGGATCATCCAAATGCACTCTAGCAAACTTCAGACGGGCCTGGACATGTACTGGCTTAAGCAGGGGGACACGTCTTGCACTGCAGGATTTGAGTCCCTGGCGGCGTAGTGTGTTACTGATGGTAGGCTTTGTTACTTTGGTCCCAGCTCTCTGCAGGTCATTCACTAGGTCCCCCCGTGTGGTTCTGGGATTTTTGCTCACCGTTCTTGTGATCATTTTGACCCCACGGGGTGAGATCTTGCGTGGAGCCCCAGATCGAGGGAGATTATCAGTGGTCTTGTATGTCTTCCATTTCCTAATAATTGCTCCCACAGTTGATTTCTTCAAACCAAGCTGCTTACCTATTGCAGATTCAGTCTTCCCAGCCTGGTGCAGGTCTACAATTTTGTTTCTGGTGTCCTTTGACAGCTCTTTGGTCTTGGCCATAGTGGAGTTTGGAGTGTGACTGTTTGAGGTAGTGGACAGGTGTCTTTTATACTGATAACAAGTTCAAACAGGTGCCATTAATACAGGTAACGAGTGGAGGACAGAGGAGCCTCTTAAAGAAGAAGTTACAGGTCTGTGAGAGCCAGAAATCTTGCTTGTTTGAAGGTGACCAAATACTTATTTTCCACCATAATTTGCAAATAAATTCATAAAAAATCCTACAATGTGATTTTCTGGATTTTTTTTTCTCAATTTGTCTGTCATAGTTGACGTGTACCTATGATGAAAATTACAGGCCTCTCTCATCTTTTTAAGTGGGAGAACTTGCACAATTGGTGGCTGACTAAATACTTTTTTCCCCCACTGTATTCATAGATCTTCATATTAATTTTAAAAAGCACCATTCACACCCGGTACATTTTGATTATTGGTGCTGCTCTTTTGGAAAAATAGGCTACATTCAATTATTATATTCCATATAATTTCATAAACATGTTTTAATGTAGAAACAAGTTTAGGGGTAATGCCAGGACAACCGCATCAAACAGGCCATAAATCAAAATCACAACAGAGCCTCTACTTCAGGGGTTCCCAAACTTTTCCTGCCTACGACCCCAAATTGACACTAGAAAATGCAGGGGACTCCATTTCGAAAAATGATATTCCATAGTTAACCCTGTTTGATCATATTCACAAAAATGTTGGGTCCGGCATGCTGTCCCAACTCATAATAATGACATGAAAGCGCATAAAAGGCCCTTAGTTGACATTAACTTTTGTATTTTATTTTAAGAAAAAATAGTTGTTAATTTGTTTAGAGATTTTGTCATGGGAGCCCATTTCAATTTCAGGGGACCGACCCCAAGTTTGGGAACCGCTACCTCCTTTCATGGAGCACCATCTGTAAAAAAATCCACATGCTGTTACATTGTTACGTTTCATTACTCCACTTTTCATGCTGTTACATTGTTACGTTTCATTACTCCACTTTTCATGCTGTTACATTGTTATGTTTCATTACTCCACTTTTCATGCTGTTACATTGTTACGTTTCATTACTCCACTTTTAATGCTGTTACATTGTTACGTTTAATTACTCCACTTTTCATGCTGTTACATTGTTACGTTTCATTACTCCACTTTTAATGCTGTTACATTGTTATGTTTCATTACTCCACTTTTCATGCTGTTACATTGTTACGTTTCATTACTCCACTTTTCATGCTGTTACATTGTTACGTTTAATTACTCCACTTTTCATGCTGTTACATTGTTATGTTTCATTACTCCACTTTTCATGCTGTTACATTGTTACGTTTCATTACTCCACTTTTCATGCTGTTACATTGTTACGTTTCATTACTCCACTTTTCATGCTGTTACATTGTTATGTTTCATTACTCCACTTTTCATGCTGTTACATTGTTATGTTTCATTACTCCACTTTTAATGCTGTTACATTGTTACGTTTAATTACTCCACGTTTCATGCTGTTACATTGCAGAATGTAGTCTAAACCAGAGACA